CTTTTTTGCACCGACAAAAAAATACTTACGATTCGTCGTTTTTTTCTTTCTGTGTCAAGTGTTTATGGCTCTGATTTGCACATCAATCGTATTTCTTATTGTTACCACAATAGACATTCGATTCGAGCAGGAGGTAAAACACGGTTTTTTCTGCATTTATTTCACTGACTTACCTACTCTGCCGTCAGTGTATAAAATGCGCTTGTCTTTTGCAATCAATGTGAAAAAAGAGAGAGAGAGAAAATGCAAATATCCAACACAAATCCATATTTTTATGGCGGCTTTAAATGGAAATATACGCCACTACTGCCAATTTCCATGCGAGCGCATTTTTATTTTGCGAAAATTTCAACCGTAGAAAAACGGAAGAAAATTTGAAGCCAAGGCGAATGAAAACGTCGTGTTACGACGCCGATATGCAGATGCGATTTGGTGTGTCACGTTCATGTTAAAGTCGAAAAATTTATAGTTTTTAACATGTCTGTGACAGTGGCACGTTCCGGGATACGTATGAAAATGGGAACTTAATTTGCAATAATATCGACAGTGTTGCAAATGAAAATACGTTTATGTAAAAGAAGGAAGGAGTGAGGAGAGGGAAGAAGAAGCGGCGGCAAAGGGATGTGTAATTGAATTATACGTGTTGTTTCGATAAACGTTGCTTAATGCTCACACTTTCAACTCTTGGAATCATAATTCCCGCCAGCCGAATGTGTTTAGTTTTCGGTGTTACTGTTTGCTGTTTGCATTGATTGCAGGGGGTATAAGCACAAGGGTGCAAATGGTGTTTGCAGCAGCCAACCAAAGCATTCGGATGCCTGCAAAAGCCCTGGAAATGTGTGACGTTTTTCGCATGGAATATTAGATAGTGCGGTTTTGTGTTTGGTTGGTTTCGGTATTGTTCAATGCGGTTCAACGGGGTTCAGTTGATGCGGTGCGACGGGGTTCACTTTTTATCCAGGCGTACTTCTAATTTCCGACTTTGGCTTTCGCTGTTTTCAAAGTGACAACGCCAACAAAACGAGTTGGCATTTTCAGATTATAGTTGTAGCTCAATGCAATTGAACCCCATTTTGTTTGATTTGTGCTTGCATATGTTTGTGGAGACAGACACCTAGAGTGATAGAGAGAGAGAGAGAGAGAGAGAGAGAGAGAGAGAGAGAAGGAGTGCTGGATTCGAGGTGTTGATAATAATAATTGTGCTCGTGATTTATGTTTACGTAGGTTTTTGGATTGTGACATGCTTAGAATCAAAGGGACGACACGTTTTGACGAAGTCTACGGCGAACTCATGAACTATCGAAAAGTCAATACAAAATGATACGAGAGTTCGTGGCGCTGCGAGCGCTCAAATGATGTTTGCACTGAAGTGTCGTCAGCTTGCTTAGAATAATCATTGAAATACGATGTTTAATTTTTGGGTGGAGGGAGAATGGGGTGGCGATTTGAAAAGTGTCATAGAATTGGATTATGAATATCACTGTTCGAGTGTCCACTTCATTGTTCGGTCCATTTAAATGGTCAAATGCGCATCTCTCTGCCTAATTCGTCTCCGTAATAAATAGTTGTCATTCAATCAACTCAACATGCCACCAAATGAGCATTGAACATTCGAGGCACGTCGTTGACTCGAAACACATTCACACCGTGTTAGGCTCGTGAGAAGTTGAGCACTTCCGAGAGGCAGCGATGGCCATTTTAAATGAATGCAAACCACGTATTCATGGGCGCTTACACCTTCAAGGCAACCAACATGCAACTGGTTTGTTCACTCCTTAGCGCTCAAACAAACACCAATTTTCAATTATAGTGACTTGAAAAATTGGTTCGTTGCATGGGCAAAAAGGCAATTGTGGGTGCAGTCTTGTTTGCGAAATCATCAACAATTCGGTGTGCCAGACTAATTTCGAAATTGCATTCGAGAAATTTCCACGTCGTTGAATTTCGTGCAACCACCAACGTTAGTTATAAAATGTTTATTTAACTTATATACATATTCTGTTCACCGTCGTTTCTATTCAAAACGCTATTCTCCGGTGATTTAGTGCTCTTTTGCCATGAAAATTCGTATTACGGAATGAATATCGAGGTTTCCGATTACAGAACGAAAGCTTTAGTACTACAGTATGAGTCCACTGGTTTTCACCAAAGAGAATTTAGTTGTTTTTGCTGCACCGAACTTTGTCAATTTTCATTCGTATAAAACCACCTGAATGAATTGCATAAGCGTTTCCATTCTGGACTGTTATTTATTTATCACCCTATGGATTTATCATTTTGATGAAATCGCATTCGAATAGATCGGATATGAATTGTGAAACGAGAGAGCGTGGCGAATAGTAATTTTTGCGTCGGTGCAAAAGTTTTCTCTCGAAAAACTTTTCATCGTTATGTGTGTGTATGTGTAGAATCGCATGCTGTTAACATCGGATTAAAACTCCATTCCGGTCGACCGCGAATGCACGTTGGTCGTTTTTTTTGTTCGCACATATATTTTCTCTCTATCTGAATGAGAGCGACCAAGTGAAAGAATGTTAGGGGGAAAACATACACGGGTGCTTTACGCTTGCCGACAACATATGGTCTCGTCGGTAGTTATCATATATTACCGCCGCATTTGCATCGGACGATCGGATTGGATTGAAATGAATTATCATTGAATATATTATTATTATTGCTCAAAAGCACGCATGTGGTGAAAGTGCCAGTGGCACGTTGAATCGTAAATGCCTGTCTCTCTTCACTTCCACAAGCACACCAAGTTCACCAGAACTGTGCTAATCTCTCTTGAAACGTTTAACCGGATCGCTCGGTCGGTGTTTGCATTGAAGGAGTGGCGCATCGCAACATTATGTAGATAAAAGTAGCAGAAGAACTGAATTATTTGCTTTAATTTCTCCGTGTTTTTTCGTTCTATTTTCACACAGAAATTGCAAGTCGCCACAATCGAAATGCTAATCAGGAACAGTGTGTTAGAATCTAACCACTGTTCGATTCGACGCACTGTTGGTATGTACGTGGGCAATGCAGGCAAAACTGTGTCAAATCAACATGGATTGTAACATTGTAACAGTGTTACACTGTAGCACACAAGCATTCTATTTTGCATTCGATAAATTCCTCAAGGGGATTAAACTTTGATTAATAAATATATTTTCGTTTGAATTCAACCGATGGACTTAATTAATTAGGTAAAACACTATTGTGTTGCAGCTGCAGAACACCTATGAACGGCTTCCACCTTCAAATGATGGCCACCACGAGACAAAATCCATCGCCGTTCACATTGTAACGCCTCGATACATTCAAAATTGACCGGACCCATTCAGCTAGCACATGATTGCTCCATATCAATTGTGAAAATTGCAATGCGAATTTCGATCTCTGAAATGGACGGCAAGGAAAAAAAAAATTCCAATTTACCATTCCATTAGCCTTTTTCTAGGGTTTCAACTGATAATAAATTGCATTCGGTTGTTTATCGTGGCATCAAGTGTCGAATGCGTGTTAAAATGTAAAAAAGTCATGGCGTGTCTGGGTGGGAAAAACCTGCCACAGTATAAGTGTACGTAACAGCCATGGTTGAATTTGAAATAAGTGTTATTAATGATTGAAACATTTACACTGCAACTGCTAACGAAGTCGTTTATCATTCGGGTTATTGTGTATATGGTTGGTTATATCATCTCGCCAGAACACGATTATTACGATTATTATTTTGACAACGTTTTGCGAAGCGCGCTCATAAAAAAGACCATTTTGCTAGCATGTGCATATAGAAAAAACGAGCGAACGAGCGAACGATTGAATGGAATGTGCCATGAACAGTGTGTGTAATACTGTTGTGATCACATCATTTTTGGCCGTTGGAGCGCGTTCGCGAAAAAGCCATTTGATAACTGTGTGGCTTTTTTGGTTTATTGTTGAATATTAAGCGGAATTATGGGGTGAAAAAAGCCGCCATCCGTGCGATCAGCGAGTGCAAGCAATGCTAAAAATCAGAGCAGAACCTAAATCAACCGCCGCTAGTGGCCGCAAATGACGTAAGCGTTAAAAATCAAATGCATAAATATTGCACGATGACCGACAGTCCTCCAAAATTATTCATGTGCTCACTTATATTGTGTGTGTCTCTCTCTGTCTCTCGGTCTTCGGCTCTCGGTTACATTCGTTATTGTTGTTGGCAGTTCATTTCGTTTTGGAGACCAAAGCAATTTGATGGTGCGAGCACTTTTTCAGTGCATAACCGAAAAAAAACAAACATTCTGACTGCATGAAAAAAAACTCAATGATATTTGGTCACATAGTTGTGAAATACCCACCGGAGATCAGAAAAAAACATGATGTACACCATCGAAAAAATGCAGATGATTTATTAAAATAAATTCGCAACTTTTTTTTTCTCCAGCAATCGACAAATTCGTTACAATAACTATAACGAGAAAATAAAAACGGTATCGAAACAAGAAAGGCAAAAATAATAATTGGGAAATGTATTGGATCGGAAATTTTGCAGTGGCACAGAGAGTAGTTATGGCAAGTGCAGTCACATAATTTATACAAAAATTTCCAATAGAATTCATTCACGTTTTATCCAACATTAAGGAAATTGAGTGTATTGTATTTATGGAAAACGTATGCTTCGCTCATATTCCGTATGCATGCATCCCGATGTCGTTATATCATCAATTTAAAATGCAAAAGAGGTAATGATATCAAACTTTATATTTTATGCTTTGCTAGCTTTATTCACTGCACACATGAAAAATTGCATTCGTTGCATTCACACACACACACACACTCATGCGAATAACGATTCGCGTTACTAAAAGAGAATCCCATTTGCAATAAACGATACCCATGTAAAATGCTGCTTACCATGATGTGATTATAAGCCTTTCCACCTGAAATACAAAAAACTCATGCACAAACTAACACAACGTAGTCGGAATATGGCTGCAATAAAAAAAAATCGGTTGAAATAACAAACAAACTTTAGGTTTTTATTGTTTCATATTTATTTTAATGAATTTCTGGATAATATTTATTTATAAATTCTATGCATTCTTTGTTTTTTTTATTATTCTGGTTGTTGCAATTCGCTGTCGGAATTTTCGATATCATTTCAAGATTGATTGTGTGTGTGAGTGTAGTTGCGATGCAAATGTGGATAAACAATGCAAATATTGCAAACAATTCAGATTCACAGTGTTCGTTCGCTTTGGAGCGGAGCACAGGAGGTGGCTGGGTATAAGGAGTGGAGGTAATTTACGTTTGCCAGTGAAGTTATAATCGGAGAATGTATTTCGAATTCCAGGCTGAAAATTGCAAATTGAATTCCATATCAAAACCAAAAACGCGCTGTGAAATTGATCGAATTTTTTTGGGTTTGAATACACATAGTTTTGGAACGTTTCGTTTGATTTGTTGGCAGTATTTGTCTTGTTCTGGGCGTTTCATTGAAATTTCAAATACAACACTTTGTTGTTTTTACTTGTGCTTGAACACCATTTTTGTTCCATTTTTAGTTTATGCTCTATGTTTATCCATTGTGTTGTGTATTTATGTTGCAGAGATGGAGTTTTCCAGAGGAAGGGAGTGGAGAAAGGGGACACAGAGGATGATGAAGATAAAAGGGACGAAAAGTGCTTTTGAGGTGGAAAAGAAGGAATGATGAGCAGGATGAGGATTAGCATAATGTGTCTACATGAATTGAACGGGCGTTCACACTGTGGCTTCACTAAAAGTTTTGTAAATTTTGAAACATTTATTATAGTGTTTTTTAGTTATCATTTTGTTGTTTAGTCTCTAAATTCATGACATAGTTTTTTTTTCATTTATTTCTGGGTTGAAATATATGTATTTCAAAATTTTTCTCTAACAGCACGAACATGTTTAATTTACATAATTTAATTAGATTGTGAGTGGGTGTGAGTGTGTATATATATAGAATCATTTTTAGTTTGATTTATGTTCTTTATCTTGAATAGTGTCATCGAATTTGTAATATTATCGTAAATTTATCCAGGCTTGATAAATAGTCATGTTTTTATTATATCAAATAAAATTCTCTAATTTTAGTCAATGAATTGTTATATCGATTAAAATTTACGCTAATTTAACAAATAATAAAGTTCTATGTTGTTTTTTTGTTTTCTCCATTTTCTCTCTCTCAATAATTTGTTTTGAATTATTTAATTTTAAAAGAATTTCCCCTATTTTTACACATAATCTATGTTGCTTAAATTGGTTTCGAATTTAAAATTTGTTATCATATATAATATTAGATAAGGTTTCCAATTTTTGTTTCTACATTTTTGTGTGGGGTTTACGTTCCTCACACTGAGATTTATTAAACACAACGAATGATTCCTCAATTTTATGTTACATAGTCATATCTAAAACTAGCTCTCCCAAATTCTTAAATTTCAACTACGACATCATTTGTTGTTTTTTTAAAAATATATTTTGTTCTTGCCTTAATTTTCATTGAAAATTGTCCAACAAATGAATATTTGAACAAAAAAAAAACGTATATTTTCTGTTCACTAAATCAAAAAAAAAATTTTTTGGTTTACCGCTTATCGAGGTGAATAAAATAGATCAAAAGCCGATCGAAGTTTAAATTCAGTATTATTTATGTTGAAGTGAACGTAAGTGCAGGAAGAAAAGTGATTTTATTGCTTCCACTTAACAAAACCGAAAACGAAAAAAGAATTGTTATTGATGTAATTCTTCCACAAAAGACACGTCTCTTCTTCTTTCAACTGCTGCTTCACACCCAAAGTTAATAATGTAGTTCGGTGCAGCCTTCGGCCACCAAAATTCCATTGAGACTTGCATTGCATGAACAGCAAATGGTGTGTGTGTGTATGACATCATCATATCTTAATTGAAAATTACATGGTCAAATGTATTGTAATTAAATATTGGTGTTTTTTACTTGTATTTTATCTCTACCGTCTTATCCTTGTATACCACTATATATAGAATCATTACGATTCTTGGTTTACACGTTACCACGCATACATACATGAATATTTAATGTAACCGCAAATGTTCAATATAGTAAAGAGAGCAGTTTATAAGCAGCGTCGCACAGCGTTTGAAACAGTCAATGTGTAGAGAGTTATTATTTGATAAATTAGAGTCGGTGTCTGTCTGTGTCGGTGTGTGTGTATGTGTTGGAGGGAGGGCCATTCAATATTATATATAATATTATATCGCTACAGAGCAGTTTTTATTGACCTGTTACTGAGTCTTAAATTAAATATGTGTGTAAGTGTCTGATTAAATTGGGTGTCCAGCTGAGTGAAAATGTTTTACATGAAAACTTTACTAATTTTACATCTATCGCGATCCAATCCGAGTCGATGAGTTATCGAGTAACTTTTCCAACAAGTGCAATTCAACTCCACGATCCATTGGGCGTTCAGTTCGTTATTGTTTTAATATCGAACTCCCATACCATGATAATTCATTTTTTTCTTCTGGGGTTTAAAGCCATTTAAGACAGGATTTATATGTTCAAGTACTGACCAAATTAAAAACTTAACCAAAAACTTTCGATTGTTTTTTTTTCTTAAGTTCCCTAACGATGCTATTTGTTTCTTTTTCTATGTACAAATTAATGTTACCATTGTCATCAAATCAATGTGGCGAAGTGAAAGAGCATTTTTAGAACATTCATTATTTCTATTTTACAAATGAAACAAAAGACATATGTTTAGTAGCAAAGTCAATATTCCGAGCGGAATAGAGTTGCCATTCTAATTGGTTATATGGTTATGCGCCAATAAATGGCGTTGTAATTGACAAGACATCCAAAAAAGTGGTTGTACCACAGTTTGAATGAAATGCGCCCAATTATTCGTCTTACACTGTTAAAATGACGGTATAAATCTTATTGTAATGACTGATATCTTTCTTCATCTCTTCTACATAGCGAATGTCTCTGTTTTTTGTTCGGATGTGTCTCCTATTTATCCCGTTTATTGACTTATGTTTATCGTTATTGCTTCGAATCAATAAAATGGGCTCAATAAGTGATTAAAATTGATTGCATCCAATTGGGACCGATTTTCCTATACTTGATTATTATTTATTATAGAGAGAGTTTCAAATTTGCCAGCTCTCGTATTACTCGCAAATACAACTTCAATCTCTCTATCTTTTTCATTTCCACACACACACACTCTCTCTCGCACATGCTCTAAAAACTATCACTTGAATGTTCCTCATTTACATGTTACAGGTACGACGTACACAACAAGTTGCTCTATTTTTTTTTTGTCTCTTGTTATTAAAACAATACATTGCTAGTCCTAATTCCCTACTCATTACGACTATGACATGATGAAACGGTTCACTTCATAGTTCAAACCATGCTTAAATATTCATGATTAATGTTATTACATGATCTGAGCATTTATAGCAGCAGCAGCAAGCAGGCAGCTGAGTGTGATGGAGAAAGTGAGCCTGCGCTACTCTCCGCCAGTGAATTGAAGGAGAGAAACGGCATATTTTTGAAAACTGCTTCGTTCGGGTGGGTGGTTTTTGCTCGAATCTCAGTTTTGAAATATTCATTAAATAATTATTTGATGATGTATATGCTGAAATATTCAATATTCAAGAAAATCGGATGTGTTCACGCTTCTGTCATTGAGGCGATGGTGTCCGTTTGCAACATGTCTAATGTAACACATTTCCCTACCACTCTGTCTTTCTGCCTCTATCTCTATCTATCTATACACAAAATCGTATGGCATTTAGTTGGAAAGTAGTGAGCTCAGGCAATTTGTATAACTCACACCGTATGACTATGGGGAGCAAGAGTGAGCTCGAGCATCTAATAACAATGCAATATGAAATTGCGTGAACGACACATTTGCCATTTAGCTACACGGCGTTTGATAGTTGTCGGTCGAGCATGATTGGTGACAATGCATTAAGCTAAAAATAATGGGACAATGACATATGAATCATATCGATGATTATTGCTGCTGCTGCTACCGCTGCTAGTGGTGGTGGCACATATTCATATTCATATTATTGTTGCGAATGAATACGCAACATATATAATAACTTGTTGCCAGCGCATACATTCACATATCGCATTGGATTTATTGGCCTGTCACTTTGGATATCGCATCCTTAAAAGACGAACAAATCAAATCAATGTAAGTGCAGAATTTATTGGATGCTTTCTAAATCAATTTCAGTTGGATTGATTGACGGATTTTTGAATGATTTCCGGAAGTGACGGACGCTTCATGCATTGGACATAATGATCACCCATCGACTCCTCGAAACACTAATTGCAAACTGAGCTTGTGCGCACACAATTCTCTTCTAGTTTTTCTTTTTTTCCTGTTCGTTATGTCTATACAATCACAACCATTTCGTTAAGTTCTATTTTTCACTTTTAGTCTGTGTTCTATATTTTTTCAATTTACACTTAAACGTCTAATGCTTTCTTTACCTTTCACTCTCCCGTTCTCTTTGTTTCCCTCTCTCTCTCTCTCTCTCTCTCTCTCTCTCTCTCTCTGTTTCATTCACACATTAAATAATCTCGACTACACTATTCACTACTATTTACAATTCGCTAGTTAATTTTTGTCTATTATTAAAAACGCAAGCGTCATTCTCTCTCTCTCTCTCTCTCTCTTTCTCTCTCACTGTTTCTCTGACTCTTGCTTTTATTCTACTTCCACTTTCTATCTATTTCACTCGATTTTCCGACTTTCATTTGCCAAAACACTCAAACAAATCAATTATTTCGAGTTTGAATCTTGACTCTGTATATCTCTCTTCTGATCTTCTGTTCTGAACATTTCCTCGAGCACACGAGTTAAGTGTAAGAGTAAGTGTAAGTGAAAATCCAAACGCGTTTTAATAACTTCAAATCAACTTAAAAGTCAAGCCCGATCAAATCATTATTTTGAATCAAATGGAAAGCTTTTTAATGAAATTGTGTGTTCGATTGCATTTTCATTAAATTTCACTCGTTGCACCTTGAAACAAACGGAAACGATTTCCGGGAAATCAAAGTCTGCTTACGATAGCCCTTTTGTAATCAATAACATTCCGTTTTGAAAATCCTTTTGCTCTTGTTTATCCATTTACATTCCGGCTTCTTGTAATGACTACTTTTACGGATTTCATCGGAATAGCTCTTTGGTTTTTTTAAAGATGAATCTTTGGCTTTCTTGGACAAGAACAACTCGTTGGCTTTGTGCACTTTGAAGAAATCGGATCGGACATTTGAACACATCTTACCTCATTCAACTTCCGATGCATTTAACACTAAATCTGATACTGCTTTGATTTTCTTCTTTAATTTCAAAACGAGAATGTGCATGAATATGACGCCTTAAGGTAGATCTTATAAGGAAGTACAAAGAGAACCGACATTTAATTAAAATCACGACTCAACACATATTTCTCTCTGTTTGGTTGAATAAATTTCTGGCTTGGTTTAGCGGTTTCATTCGTTTGTTTGTTAGACTTTAAAGCACTTTTTTTGTTAACATTTTCAGTGTTTTTCTTTCCTTCTCTACAATTTATCGTTATATCCATTATCATTCTAGATTGTTTCTCAATCTAGCTTTCCTCCACCATCCAAGAAAAAGAACACTTAATTATTTGGAAAAACACTTGACAACACACTACCGGTTAAACTCGTTGGCAGAACACATTCGAAGTCATTTTTACAATTCCGATTCATATTGCATCAATCAATGCGTGGGTTTTCTATCAGTATGGATGATTTGATTTTGTCACGGCTTTTCATTTTTCCGCGTTTCGTGGCAAATATTTTGTGTTTGTATACTTTGTTGTTTGGTTGTTTATTCCGTTTCACTATTTTCGTTTTGATTTTCGCACTATTTGAACGGATTTTACTGTTGTTGCTATTGTTTTTGTTGTTTTTGTTTGCAATTTGTGTCAGTCGAACGTCTCTGGAACGATCAATTATCATTTATTGATGTGCACGTTTCACATGTGTCACGATATTTTCGTTTTGTAAATTCGAATAGATTTTCCCAACAAACAAAACCAGAAAAAACACGTCTATCTACAGAATGAGAGACGATCATTTCATTTTGTATTGCTTTTCGCTGATTGAAGTACATCGTTGTCATGGCTGTCACGCACTTTATTTTTTTTTTCCTCGCTTTTTTTTTGTCTCAAAGCAAAACTCCAGAGAGAATCTCATTCGAAGTAAATCGATTTCACACACTAATACACACACAAAAAATATTTTTCGATATTATTCTCTCTGCCTTTTGTTACGGATGTGTAAGCTCGATGAGAGAAGATGAACTTTTATTGTATTTTATTTTATATTTCTCTCTGCCGCTTCATATATTTTCTTTCTGCTGAGACGTCATCTTCTCTTACGACCAGTGCATGGAGCGTCGAGCAACCTATGCTGAACTATCCCCTTCGGATTTTGAATCGTCTGGATCTAAGCTTAAGCAGTCTTTCAAATAGTGTTCCATTGATTTGTACACGTGTTCCAAGACGTGTTCCAATTCGTGACCCTCATCAGCATACGTCTAAATAGGAAACGAACGAAATGGAAAAGTTTGGAGCAAAAAATTAGAATTTGGTTTGAAATCAAGTTTTTTCCTCTTGGCTTGATCGAAAACGGGAGAAAAATATTTAACAAAAAGAGAAAATCATTCGAAAAAAGAGACAAAAAAAAATTCGAAAAAAGACAAAAAAATTCTATGTGCAACAACCAAAAGTGTTATCATCCTTACTTGGTATTGAAATATCACTCCGGCTTTGGCGAGTGCACGTGCCAGCTGCGTCCCATGCAGATATGGAGCGGATGAATCGGCCAGTCCATGTAGCAAAAAGAACGAATGCGATGGTATATGTCGAGCGCGTTGTGTTGCATCTGCTTCGACGTAACCTTTAAAATTTTCATTCGGTAGTCCCAAAATTCGTTCTGTAAACGCCGAATCTAAAGAGGTACACATGGAAACAACGACAAAAAAATGTACGAGATGAAGAAAAAAGGAGAGTAAGTGAGAGAGTGTGAGAAGGAGAGAACGAGAGAAGAAAAAAAAAATGTTGGCAAGAAAAATGATTTGCAAGAGGAACGACAGAAAATTAAATTGTGACATGAGGTAATATATTTTAATATTTTCCAGCGATTTAGTTTCGCATCGCAATATATGACAAAAGTAGACACTCCATCATTCACACCGAAAGAAAAAAACATATTTATTACGATATGTGTACGAGGTTGATTTTCATGGTGTGAGAGTTGAAATTACGTTTGCGAAAAAATGCCTCAATTTATCAAATTACTTTATTTCTAGTGAAATAAACAGAGTAACTAGTTCGCGTCATCCATTTCTATTTCCAAAAAGCCCCAACTAAATATTTTCGCCATTTAGAGTGTCATGACCTTGTTGTTGAGCGGCCCATAAATCGTGTGCATGCTTTGGCTCGTCAATCCCAGAAAATACTTATCACTCGAACATTCATATTTCACATGGAAACAGACGAAACGCGGCATATTTTCCGTTTAAGCTCACATTTTGCTAAACGCGAACCACACGGAAAGCCTATAATTTTGCATTTCCAATGCTAAACGCTCCATGAATACAACTTATCGAAAAGAGCATATCACCGTTGCAGTTGCATTCGAGAATACACCGCGCGAATCATGTAGAAACCTCAAGGTTTCCAACGGTATAGAAAAGCTGTGAAAAATTACAGTTTATTCATGTTCAGTTTTGGGCCGGTGAACGTACAGCGTACACTCCAATGAAAATCGATTATAACCAAAGCGGCGCGTTTTCTCCGTCCCCGAAAAACCGTTTTATGCTTGAACATGAAACGGCATTCCATTCAAAATGCCATTAACAACGCCCAACTCATGTTCAACCATTAGTAACAATCATCGAACGAGATATTTTCCGATTAAAAGTTCATGCGTAATTATGCACTTTGCAGCTATTCATTTTCCGTCTGGTTTTAGCCTTTGTGCACTATACACAACATTAAGCACCATTGAATGCACTTGGAATGCCATCGCAAGGAGAATTCGATAGCATCTAGTAGAGAGTTCGGCTCGTAGTTAGTGTAGCGAGTGCACTGACTCGTGCGCCTATACGGGAAGCGCACGACGTCGCCGCACGAGCGGCGACCGCATGTATAACAAACGAATACCGAATAAAGAGAATCAGTCTAATTGTTACCAGCAAACCCGACGTGTCTAATCATCGAATATTCTACCCTACCTTTAGCTACGGATCCAAAGATAAGAGCTACGGATCCAAATAAAAAAGGTAACGATCAGAACACCCTTAAATTGGCGCTGCAACAAACGAAAGACTCACAACATCGAAAAAAATAGCGGAATCGTAGACCAATAGAAACCGAAAAAAAGAAGGAAAAAGAAAAAATCAAAGTTCCACGTGTCAGTGAAAGTGCACAGAGAAATCAAGTGAGCGATTTGTGATAAAAAATCATCATCACGCAAAAACTATTCGTGTACCAAAACATTGCATAATAGAAAAACATAGATCAAAATCCACTCACGCACCGAAAAAGTGAATAGAAAAATACATCGGGCAAAATCCATTCATACACTTGAATATCGGAGAGAAAAAAAAAACCATCGAGCAAATTCCATTCGTGTATGTGAAGAAGCAAGAAAAAAAAAGACACACGCGAATTCCATACACAGAACAAAACCGAGGAAAAAAACCGCACGTTGCAAAGACACGTGCAGTAAGCCACGAAGAGCGAGCGAAGGGACCCAAAGAAGAACATAAGCAAAGCGGAGGTGAAGCATAAAAACGAACGAAAGCGGCCAAGTGTGGGAACGAACAGCGGCGGAAGACGAGTAACTGGACACCAACTTGGAGACAGCAGAATATCAGAATCGAGTACGAGCTAATTGTTGGGATAGGTCGTTAGGTGAGTACTGATTTGCATGTTTTTAAAGTGAAGTGTTCATTTTTTGGTTGATTTCGATTATTTACACTCGGCTAAAATCAAATGGTGCAATTAAATATATAATTCAGTAGTCAGCAAGCACAACCGAATTTGTTCCTCATACCTTTTCGTTTTCGTCCGGTTCGTTAAAAAAAAAAAAAAAAACAATTAAACACACATAGCATAAAATCGAATTTGGCATTTGCTACTCGTGCACTTTTCGAGTTCGACTCCTCAATGCAACGAACGCCACCGCCAAAGAAAAACGATAATAAAAAACAGAGCGATTCGGGCTATTTATCTCATTTGTTGGACTTGGAAAAAAATTTAAAAACGATAGAAGATCGTGCGGTTCATGATTTGACCACAGGCCGTAGATCGCTAACATTTAGCGCGCCCGAATCGTCCTCAACATTTATTTTCAACAGAAGTCCAGTACAAGTAAATTTGAACGAGACTTGGCTTGACGGAGCTGCTGGTTTAGACGCACAGAGTCAATTTTTAGATCCAAATCGAATTACACAGTCGCACCACGGCGGTTCAGTTGTCGATCATTATCATTTCGATCCGTTTGAAGCAGCCGAAGAGACATATTCGGTTTTGACAGACAAATCCATCGGTAACTTATCGGTAGAGAGGGAAAAAACTGACGGGAAATCAGACGATCAGCTGATTAAAGTAACAAATAAAGAACCGACGGAAGCGGATAAAACAACAGACACGGCGAATGGTAATCCGGAAAACGCGACAGATCCAACAGCGAATAATTTGACTCAAAGCCAACAGCCGCCAAACAACAACAATAATATTAACAACAACAATAACAACGATCGTAATAACGACGCTTCGAATCCTGAAAACGGTAGAAATAACAACAATAATAACGATAATAACAACAATAATAATAATAATAACAATAACAATAGGAACAATCATTTTAATTCTTCGGATTCTGAGCAAGAAGGCGACGAAATGGCTTTATCGTTGAACAGCATTATGAAGGGTATTCCCAAATTCATAGAAACTCATGATGGAATATTGCAATTTATTGCGGAAAGCGACCTCATTTACGACCTGAGTGAGGCAGGCCAAAGGCCTACAGTGCTGCGAATAATAAAAACACGACTAACAACGGCACATAAGCTGGGCAATACAACGAATGACACGTGGGAGCAAATAAAAACAAAAATGCGTGAAAAATATAAATTGACGATGACATATGAAACAGCTCAAGAGAGACTGTTATCGATCAGACAGGGACAGAAAGAATCGATAGATGCATATGCCGAACGGGTGAAAAAACTGTTGGACATGCTGAATTTAACATCGTCAGGCGAAGACGCGGCTATACAAGCCGTGAAAGCTGAAATGAACGAGGAGTTAGCAGTACGGAAATTCAAGCAAAATATATACGATGAAAGAACGCGTACAATGGCACTCAGTGCGGATCACAGAAGCTTGTATGAGGCAGTCGCACACGCCACAGAAAAACAAGAGCAAATGCAATTATCGAATGTCGCTAAAGATCAATCAAATGAACAAAAACAAATCAATAAAAACAATAACAACAACAATTTTAACAAAAATAACAACAACAACAATAATAAGAATAACAACAATAATAAGGGTGATAACAACAAAAACAATAACAACGCTCAAAACAACAACAGCAGGATACCGTGCAATTTCTGCAAAATGACAAATCATAGACCGGAGCGATGTTTCTTTAACCCGAATAGAAATGACGAGCAAAAGGCTCAATCGAGTGGATACAACTCTCAACAAAACAAAACGAAAACATCGAAAACAATGGGTGCTAGTATAGAAGATGCATCAAATTCGGAGGGTGAAGAAGTATATGAGGCAAAGGTATCGACGGGTGCCACATCAACTCCGTTATTGCCGATGCATTTAAACTCCGAACGGTGGATGCACAAATAGAATCCACAGTGCATCCACCTAAAAATCAAATCGAAAAAACCGAAATGCTTGAGCAAGTAATCAGTCGTATCTCAGTCGAGAGCGCCATTCAACTGGAAAACAGAGATCTCACCATAACGGCGTATGTATCAATATGTAACAGATTGGTGAAATTCCTTATTGATTGTGGTGCAAATGCTACGATAATAAGTTACAAGCTCCTAAAGCAAAACATTCTGTACTACCCACAAATAAAATATTGTATGACGGGAATAAATGGACCGCAAAACGCAGTAAAAACCCACGGCGCTACGTATGGCAACATAATCATAAATGGCATAAAGCTAAGACAGCAGAAAAAAAAACAAAACAAAAAAAAAAAAAAGACATTAAATGTATAGATTAGAATGAACGTTAAATCACACGTCGGCAATAATTCAATCTTCGATTACAGACATGAAGATCCAGCTGACGATGATATGCATGGCATTGATGATAACAGCGGGCGAGGCTAATTTTAGTGAAACAACATCGGGTCTAATATACACGATGCTGGGTAAAACCCAAATAACGTACAGCACGTGGAAGATCTGTTATTATTATGATTTGAGCGAGTATTATAAGGAGAAGCAAACATTGAAATCAATTATCTCTAGAATGAACATTATATGTAACCAGCTAACAGAACATGACAATTGTAGAATACTAATTAAGCATTTCGAAAACGAATATGATAGAATGTTGTACGAAAACGATAACATTGTGTCAATATGTGTCAATACAATAATAATGAAAACGATAAACAGCTCAAATCAAACATTACACGATTTCCAAGATAAAATTAGCGAAATAGCTAGAATCGTAAAAAATGAAACAACGGTGAATAATAAAAAAATTGACGAAATAACACTAAGAGAGAAAATCAATTTTTTAACTGAGATAGCCACGCTGATCATCATAGACCACCACGATTTAACGACTAGAATAAATAACGTAGTTAAGGATACAACAACCGGGGATATATCGGATATCATCGACATAAATGCTATTAGAAACGATTTGATGACAATAAAAATGAAATTGCAGAGCGGGGAGGAATTTCCAATCAATTGGAATAAAGACGACATTCATGAAATATTTACCTTTTCGCATGTTAAAGCCAGAGTCACGGAAAATAGCATTTTTATCGAATTATCCATTCCCATAGTAGAAGCTAGAACGTTTGATTCATACGAGATAACTCCAATACCGATAAAATTTCAAGATGAAATTCACATTATCAAAATTAAAGCAAAACACCTGTTAGCGAATCTCGAAACCGGCGAAATTATTGAACTGAGCGAATCAGATAACTGTTTTGGGAAAAATGGACAAATATGCAAAATTCGATCACCGATAATTACTGACCATTTTAAAAGTTGTGGGATATTATTGCTAACGAATGCGAGCGGTGAAACCAGTAAAAACATCTGCAAAACCAAACGCGTTCAGAAGGCAACATACGTTACCCCAATATCGCAAACAAACAAAATACACGTATTCACGGACTCGAGAATAATCGCTAAAAAATTTTGCAGAGGAAAGGAGGTAGAAGTCTTGACTCTACTCGAACCTCAGGTAATTGAAGTAATGCCCAAGTGTAGCATTATCATCGGAGGATACAAATTGAGGGGACACGAATCGAACACCCTCAATTCATCAGAAATAAGACCGATATTGGAACTAAACAAATTGAAATTCGATGAATCAACCGTTGACGAAGCAATAGAGCCTAAGACAATTTTGACAGACGATCTGGGAATACTAGAAGATGTGAGTACCTCCGATATGCTAAAAGCAATGGAGAAAATGAACGGAGAAAAAATAAAAGAAATCCAACTAACCGACAAGACTCACACCTTCGGTATCCTGGGAGTTTTGGGTATATCTGTAATCATAATCGCATTCGTAATATATATTGTTATCAGAAAGATCCTTCCGATCGCCACAACCATTGCTCGAATGGCTAACCCCATACCTATTGTATAACTGATCGGGACGATCAGATTCTTTTTTGGGGGGGGGATGATGTAGCGAGTGCACTGACTCGTGCGCCTATACGGGAAGCGCACGACGTCGCCGCACGAGCGGCGACCGCATGTATAACAAACGAATACCGAATAAAGAGAATCAGTCTAATTGTTACCAGCAAACCCGACGTGTCTAATCATCGAATATTCTACCCTACCTTTAGCTACGGATCCAAAGATAAGAGCTACGGATCCAAATAAAAAAGGTAACGATCAGAACACCCTTAAATTAGAAGGAAATCTCGAATGTTATTGTAGTGGCAATTTCAGTCAGTTGATCGTGACATTGTTGTTGTCGTTCAAATTCGAAGGAATAATACAAGTTAATTTTCTATGCATGTAATTCCATCAAAACGTTGTGATATGATCGGTTCGTCGTTGCAAATAAAGCAAGTTGAGCAAAAGCGATGAATTTGTACTTACTGTAGAATAGCCAATCGGTGATGGGTGAAACAGAAACACCACATTTGTAGACTGGCTGTTGAGCCCCGAGCACCATTGCCGTAACGTATCCACCATAACCCCAGCCCCAAATGCCGACACGTGTCTCGTCGAGGTAATTCATATTCGACAACAAGTGGCTACATTTCACATCGTACAATTGAAGTTTCCATCGCAACAGCAACAGCAACAGCACCAGCACCAGCAGCATCCAACAGTTGAAACAACAAACAACAGTGCAGCAAAATCAAATGAAAATAAACAAACAGAGAACAGAAACCCACAATGAAAATGTTATTCAAACCATTTTGCAATGAGAAAAGAAAAATAATTCAGTGAATGCGACGCAAAATGCCACCACATGGAGCAACCGAATGAAATAAATGGCTCGCACTGCAGCTGAATAACCAATATTAAGCTCCGTATCTCCCTTTTGTCTATCTACCTTTTCCTCTCTATTTTTGTCTCACTCTTTCTAAAATACCTATCTTATTCTCCTTCTCTCTCTTACTCGCCCGTCGCTTCGTCCGTCTTTATGTCTCGCTCCCTCCATCTCTGTCACAATTTCGACGGGAATAACGATTAAGGCACGCACACAATACACAAAAGTGTTTGTGGATTTCATCATACAAAACCAAATTGTGCATTCATTCAGTTGTATGGCATAATCGAGTCATTTATCGTTCGATTTTAGCATAATGTTTATGTTTATCCGAAAAGTGTTTTTTTTTTTTTCAATCAAAAATTTTCATTTACTCATTCTCCCATGTGTGTGTGCGCGTGTGTGTGTGTATCATTTTGCGCACGACAATGCAGTAGCACCACAGTAACACTTTATGATTTATGACCGTGAGCATTGACGTAAATGCTACGTCAACCGATTGCTCACACTCGTTCCGACTGGTTATTCCCTTTGAATCGTCTCTCCATCTCTCTTTCGCCCACTTTGGAGTTTATGACATAGCAAAACGATTTTCTCTCACTTGACTTGAAACTGTATTTTATTATGCAATGTCATTATTTGATCAATAATGTGTGAAATTGCTATTAAAGGTTTATGCAAAATATGCTAATAACGTCGTCGTTAGCAAAAACCATCCTTCCACATAATAACAAACATTTTATAAATATGTATACGTGATGATGGATACCGGAAATTGGAATCATTTTTGCGTCAAACTATGTGTGTGTTGTTGTATATGACTATTTTCAGTGAATAATTTTCAAACAATGACTATATTTATCGAACAGTGCTATCAGCACCGATTCACACTTTCTTGAAATAACATTTGCTGTGTAGCATTTTACATCGATATCCAATCAAAAACCACCACCAGGTACTCAAATGCAAACATTTCGATTAAATTCCTGAACAATAGACATTTTCAAATTTACTGAATTCATAACTAGTCGCATGTGTCATGGGGGAATTCATGAAATTTTAAATCATCGATGGAAATTCTTGCAAATGTGCCCAACTGAATAATAACTTGATTCTTCTCAAAAATAAAACTTGATAAAAGGTTTTTCATGGAAAGAAAACCGTCGCCAAAAATACTTGTGCATTCAAATGAGACTTTCACTCCAATTAAAACTATGTAACGAATTTGATTAAAAGCCATTTAATTATGCAAATATCGAATTAAACGTAGTCCCAATGCAGATGCTTTGTGCAAAACACACGACATGGTAAATTCATATTCACACCACCGTTAAAAGCTGTCATGTTTGGCTCATTTAATTTTCACCGCATTTCGAATTTAAATTTTATCGAAATCGGCACGTGGTTTTCCCTCCCTGCATCGCATCGTCATCATTGTCGTCAACGGCTTTCGGTAAAAAGAGCACACTTCGGTGTCATGGCATTCAATTAAGCAAATCAAATGCCGTCTGCAGCAATGGAATGGAAAGCAACATGAAAATTAATTAAAATGAATTTTTGCTCATGACATACATGAAGCGATAAGTTTTTCGAATTTTATTTGTGTTTAACCGAAATGAAGGCACATATCGAATTGTTTGAGAAAATTCGAGAGAGAAGGGATGAGAAGTGGAGATGGGAAGAAAGAGCTTTTTTTTCCTATCATGGTCTCAGGTGTAATACTTGCGAAAATGAACAAAAAACCAAGCAAAAATTGAATGTTGAACATGAAAAAAAAACGCACGCACACATACGTTTCAACACTTACCTCAGCGCATCAATTTGATCTTCGACTTCTGCACCGCCCAAATGTCGATAAAGCGCCTGTTTACTCTGTCCTTTTGAACCTCGAACATCTAATCGAATGTAAATGACATCGTTCCGACTCGACATATATGAGCCCCAATCGATTTGGAACTTTTGCGTTATTGACGACGATCCCGGGCGACCATTTCTATGTGGATCGAAAATAGAATAATAGACCATTTACTATAGGTATGACATTAAACAAAAAAAATCCCCTTTTCCTTCATCATTCAGTCAGTCACATGCATTGTCGACTACTCCAGCATGAATAATAGAACTATGAGAATTGATTAATTCGGCCATTATTTTAAAATGATCGGGAATTGAAAGTTGCCAACTGTGTTCCCATTGTTCGTTACATTCATGTAGTCGTCGTCTTCGTTCTTGTCGAAGATGAAAAAAACACGAAGTGCCTTAGATTCACAATGTGAAAAAAAAAACAATTGAATTCGTTGAGCGCAATTTTTCGGCAGCAGCACAAACAACAATAAATTCGCGAATGACGTGGAAACAACAGCAGCAAAAATCGAAAATCGCACGTAAATAAAGCACGCCCCGAACGCGAAACAATGCAGTTAGTAGCAAAACGCGTATTTAATGCACGCCGTTGTGCGTTTCAATGTTGCTTTCATATTGACATGTTGAATAGAGAGAGAGAGAGAGAGAGAGAGAGAGAGAGAGAGGGCATCATGGAAATTTTGTTTTTTCGTGTGTGAAAATATCAAATGGGGAAAAGCGCTGCGAACATTTGTGGAAAAACAAATAGAGAGAATCGACAGCAAAAAGTTTTTGAGCAAGTAAGAGAAACAAGAGAAATGGTAATTTCGCCTTGAGCACCGAAAATTTATTACTTTCAATAGAATTTCTTATGCAAATCAACATTTTCAAAGATGTGCTTGGACGGCAGCGGTGGTGTGGTGGTGGCGGTCTGTATTATGATCACAACGACAACGGGTAACATGGATATATGTTCGTTTGTGTTAGCGTGCGCGTGTGCGCACGCCAACATTTTACCATTTTTCGATGCGATTTACAATTCGAATATTTTGCTTATTGCTCATATCGACCCTGAAAGAGGTTCAGGGCTTGAAAGTATGATATATCATTCCATGTAAAGTGAAATACGTCATTTGATTCGGCTCAAAATTTGAATAAATGATTTGGCTCGTTTGATTCGCCGTCGCCACCGACACACGATGACGCTCAAGCTCATGCTCTCAATGGATCTCCGACTCTGCATCAATTCTCACGCACATAAATCACTTTTTCGAATGGTTCACATTCCGTCGCAGGAGCCAACGAAAAAAAAAACACCGACGAATAATCTATAATTGCCGCACGTTCATATTTTCATCGGCAGCGATGTGATATTAATCGTGTTTTGCAAAATTTGCGGTGGTAAAATTGATTGACAAAAGACATTGAATTGACTGGCTGCGCGTATTGATTGTGCATGATGTGGTGTTGGTGGAAGGGGATTGTTATAGACATCAACGTTGATACTTACACTTCGACTAAGACGGGAAAAGCGGCGTCACGTAATTCTTCTCGCCAACTTGGCGGATACAGAATTTGCACTTGAATCCGTGTCCCATGGTTCAGTGTTATTTCAAACGAATGCTTCTTCGGCAGAGCCAGCTTATCGAGACGTTGTCTTATCGACGAATTTGCCATGTTGAATAGCTCTTGCAACAATATATTCGTTTTGATTGAATGTACACCTGCGAGAAAAAAGATGACAGAGAAGAACAATTGAAGCAATTAAAATTTATCGATGAACCGACATTGTAAAACGCAACCTAATGGAAAATTCTCGCACATTACATTGAAAGACAATGGGAAAAGCGATGAGATTTAACGAGATGCGCGGTGTGAAATGAAGGAATTTAATTGCGCTAGATATATGGATAAATTAATTGGATTATACCGGCTACAGGTAATGTGGGCCCTTGACACTCCAAAACGTAGTGTTCGACACGATAATCGGTTGCTATGGAAGACGGTGGACTAAGATAAACATCAAAGTATGAACAATTTCTGTAGAGGCGTCGGCTACTCCACAAAAGACTATCAATATCACACGTAATGCACTGCGGCTCCATTCTGTCGACGAGAATTGCAGCATTTCATCCATTAATGTTTGGTCGGATGATGGTCATCATTATTTGGCAGAGATCAGCAGGCGATAGCAGGTTTCAGAGAGAAAAAGAGAAGAAAATGGCATAGAAAAAATGGAAGAAAAATGGACGTGCATAAAATTTCAATGAATTTCCCTTTATTCTTAACTAAAACACAACGATTTTCTATTTTAACGACGCATTACGCCGCCAAAAATTATCATATTTTGAATAAATAAACCGTGTTCCACACTCACTTGCCATTGTCTTTGTTCAGCGGATCTTTGACCACGTACATGTGTTGTTGGCCGGGCTTTCTATCTTGCGTTCCGAGATAGTAAACCAAATGATTTTTCGTATCCCATGCTAATATTTTCAGCACCTGTAATTGATAGCAATTAGAGTTTCTTTTTACGGTAAAATAATCATCAACAAACGCGGCAAGAATTGGAAAAGCCGCGTTAGAATGTGTCGCGCTTTTTCATAGCCTCTCTCGCGTTACATTTGTTTTAGATTCGGTGTTGTTTTTTTTGTTTGCGATAAAAATAGGTCGCAAGATATAAGAAAAAGCGAACGTTGAAAGCATCAACAAAACACAAACAACCCAGTTTAAAATCAATGTTTAAAAGCGTTATTACATTAGATTACACGGTTATTTAACGAATAGCTAGGCTTTCAATCGACTGTCTATCAGCGCGCATGGTTTCAATTCGCAATGATGATCGAATACGAAAAAAAAAACAAAGAAGATATGAGGGAACGGCTTTAGGTATATACATGGCAGCGATGTTCATAGTAGTACAAAATTCGTAACACTCTCGAATTGCATGATTTTATACTTATAAGTAATATGAATCATAATAATCGTAATAGGTTTTATTAATAGCTATAGCCAACCTAGGTTGGTGACGACACCGTCGTCTATGGCAAAAATATGGTGTGTATGGGACACTGTTGTATGGTTGTTAATGAGACATGATCGGCGCGGAAAACCTTTTATGAAATAAAATGAATGAAACGTATAACACGTTTCTGAAAGGAGAGGGAAGAGGAAGCTCAAGCTTCTTATTGAATTTAATTGACGTGTTCTGCTTAAAATAAACAAAGACTTTATAGAAAGTTTCTGGTAGAAGCATTTCCTAGAAAAACAACCCCAGCGCATGAGGCGCTTTTCCAAGCGATAAATTCTCATTTAGTCGATGGCGATAGCAATGGTGATGATGTTGGTGTTGGTGATGGTAATGGAAAATGTAGCATAATTGGAAATTAAATCAAAACAATAATCAATTTTAAGCGCGTTTTCTTTTCTCGAAAAAGCATCATATTACAATTCTCACTATATGGTATTTTGTAAGCGAAGTTTTATTGTGGCCAATTGAATTTAACGAAATTAAAAGAAAATTCAACAAAAAAACGAAAAATTCAGCATAGTAAAAAATGAAACGTAGTAAACATCTACGCAATATATTATCGAATGTTTCTAAAAGTTCGATGGATAAATCGACCGAGATACAATTAACTTTTGTTTACTGTTCGGTTTGAGGCGGGTTTATACAATGCTTGGTTTGTTTGATTAAATTCTGTCTGCATAATTTCTAGTGTACACAATTCGATTAGAGCAACGTTGGCATATATAGATAGATTTTATATATTTATAGTTAAATGTTGATGCGTCAATATATTCATACGAACAAATTAATTACGTACGGTTACGATGACACACTAAATGGGTTTTAATTACAAATTAATGGTAATATTAGATGCGTGTTTTGTGTTTGTAGGTATGTGATTATTTATATGGATTCAATATAAGATTGCGAGTTAAGAAAAAACAGGTTACGTTAAAAAAAAACAAACAGCACACGTTATTGCTATTTAATTGTGCAGATCAGATTATCTCACCTGATGTCTGCCATTTGTTATGACAGCTACTTGCTACCCACGAACCATTTCATACCATTCGTAGAATTAACAAAGAATATCCAAAATACAAAAAAAATAACATGATAAAATAAATCAATCAGCAATTATTTTGTTCCCTTATTCAAAGGGATTGTTTTTTTGTTACACTTTGTAATTTGATTTTTCATTTACAATGTTTTCAATGATGACATTTCATATCATTGATATTTTATTTTATTTCATAACGGTATAATAACCTTTGATATAAAATATTCATTGAATTCTCTTTGATCGTTTAACATTTTGTCCATTGGTATTTCAATTTTGTAATTTTAAGCTTTTTCAAGGGGCAGTTTTTCATTTAAATCCAATAAACATCAAGCAGATTTCATCATGTTGGCATGGCGCCATTATAACTGAATTTAATTACGAATCGATTCAATTTTTTTCACGCGCGCGTTCGAAAACTATATATCATGTGGTCAATGCCTTTTTGTGAGCTTTTAATAAACATTTTTGTTGTGTTCTCGTGTGTCTTTAAATTGGATTCTTTTGAAGACCTATCGAAACCGAAAATTGCATTGCAATTCAAACACTGTTCTCTGTTTACGTGAAAAAATAGTTTGTGCAACTGAACCAATATTTGGAATTCCCTGGACCCATCATCAATGATGAATGAATTTCATCGATGCGAAAGTGTTTGATTCAAAGGAGCATAGTTTTCGATATTTTTTTCATTTCAATGCCATTGCTCGATAACTCAGTTATCGATCGGTTGCATGTTTTGCATTTTGTGTGAGCAAATATATCGTTGATTTCTGATTTCAGTGTATCAGCACCGAACAGAAACTGGATTTTTCGGGATTGGTGCAAATGAAAAAGAAATCAACGATATATTTGCTTACACAAAATGCAAAACATGCAACCGATCGATAACTAAGTTATCGAGCAATGGCATTGAAATAAAAAAAAATTCTGTTTCATTTGCACCAATCCCGAAAAAAACCAGTTTTTGTTCGGTGCTGATACACTAAAACCAGAAAATTATATGCATATGAGGCAAAATATGATAAACTGAGTAAACATTTCAGTTGAAGAGGTCTTTCTGCTTCAATTTCAACATAAATAACCGCACCAAATTCATTTTTGCTTCCCATCACCATTATCATGATGATGGTATGTTGACAAACGGTGAATTTGTTTACCGTCGAATCGAAATAATGTTTCCGTCAACGAATTTACCGGAGAAAATGTTGGCATTATTTGGGCCAGTTCAAAAATTGAAATGGCATACGTGGGTTTTGGTTCATTCGAAAGCCAAGTGAACGAAAATTGTGAAAACAAACGGAGGCAAATAAAGAGTAGGTTGTTTTTCCACTGAACAAGAGATAACGCTGACGGTGGTGCCATGGGACATTGAAGACGAGGTGCAGAAGAATGGAGAAAAATGGCACAAAATACGAGGAAATGTGACTCATTCAGAAAAATCACAACCAAACGATAATGATAATGACGCAACATCTAACATGTATTAAATTTAGTCCATTCTGTGTGCGAGTGTATATAGTCGATGAATGAACGTTTGGTTTATTCGATGCTTTCATAACTTCTATCGTTTGTGATGTCGAGCGTTTGAACACAGTCACGCGTTACAGCTGCGACGTATTTGAAGACAGTGTGTGTGCGAGCAATAGAAAGGAAAAAATGGAAGAGATATGGTGAGGAAAAAAAGCGATGTGTCGAGGAAGAAGTGGAAGAGATAATAATTGCGAGTACAATGATATGTTTTTGATCATTCTTGTAGATAGAGAGTTGAACACACATAATGACTTGAAGATAAAAAAAGACAAAAGGCGTTAGAGCAGAGCATTGATAAAAAGAGAGTACGTGCAAGAATGGCAGGGCGCACACATCAGAGCAGGTGAATGATGGCAACGAGTCTCTTTTATCATCCAACCATTGAAGCGGCTTCATTGCTCTCGTCTGCCGCAACGCGTACAACCATCAAATCCAAAGAAAGTTCATTCAAACACAACACATCACGTATGAATACCATAACAATAATAATAAAATGCAATGAATTGAATGACAGTTATGATTACAATTTAGATTAATTTCGCATTGAACCAGAGAGACAGAGAGACACAGTGTACCGTGTTCTAGCACACGCATTTCAAGTTGTACCACTGAATGGTTCTGTTCTACACACACCACACATATAGACTGACTCAACTCGAAGCTTTCTACACACACAATTTTTTCTTTCTTCTGCTCTCCATGCCTTTCCGTCACAATAATTTATGATGCTTTATTGAAATGAATGCGCATAAAAGCCTCTTATATACTAAATAAACACATCAACATTTATCTTGAATAGATTTTCCTTCTTCTTCTTCTTCTTTTTTCCCTGTTAAATATGAATTTATGCTTGCTGTCTAATGAAATAGCAAGGTATTTTATATTTTTCACTCAATCTCAATTTTCAACTCTGTATTTGCGAATATGCAGGGCAAGAAACATTTCAACTCTTCATGAGTTGGAAAATCCACATTTTGTGAGCATGGAAATGTGAATTATTTGAATATTTTCGTGAGGGAAAGAAAATCGTTTTGCAGAGAGTGTGCTTAGCATTTTACTCTACTATTGAGCCCAAGAAAATAGCAAAATGAAATGTGTTGTTTATCTAAACCGAGCTATACCAAAAAATAGTATACACATGACAAAATATTTGGTTGTTTTTTTTAGCAGCCGTATATCTATAGTATAAAATAGAGGTGGAGAGAAAGAGGATAAGCTTAAAGTCGGCTGAATTTGAGCCATAAATCTTCAGTGTAACACTAAAACACTTCTACTAAACCGATCGACCAGTCAAAGAATGGGGTTTTAACCTTCACAAAATGCCCATACGTAAACGAAAACACACAGAAAACGGAATAGAAAAAATGAATAGTCTATTTTTATTTCCTTTCTGGTCGCTGTAGTTTTTTTTTTTTTTCTTCAATAAAATAATTTTATAACCCCTTTTTTCTTCTTCGGTGGAACTCGTTCAAAAATCGTTTTTCAAGAGAAAATCGAAGTGAATGCAACATAGTAGTCTCAATACTTACCTCGTATCGTCCATGCGAAATAACCGAAATCCTTTGTTGAGTTATTGTTACATGTTTGATATGAGTGAAATGTTCAGTACCAGTCTCTTGAATGCTCGCCAACAATAAAAAACTATCACCGTCCGGTGAGAAGATTGGATGCGGCAAAATATCCAGCCATTCGTTTTCGGGCGCTCGTTCCGAATGCGTCTATGAAAAAACGAAGAAAAATGTGCCAAATTGAACGACAACAGGGTAATGAAACCAGATAGAGAAATAAAGGGAAAAAATCGTACAAGAAATTCAAATATTTTCCACTATTCTATGTGCTTGTGTGCTCGCGCTGATGACACAAAACAAGAAAAATGAATACATCAGCACAGGCCGTAAATAGGAAAGAGAAAACAACGACAAAATGAAACACCACCAAAAATTTCGTTCAAAATGGAACGACAAAAAAAACACAACAACAAAAATGATGACAAAATGCCGCAGTAAGGGCCTGTACGGAGTACATCCATAAAACATCATATGTATTTTATAATTCAGAACTTTTTCCAAATACATTTTATTTTCACCCATAGATACGCGACGCTCGCATATTGCGACCGACCAACGGAAAAATGTTGAACTTCAAGTGCAAAAAATGCTCACAAAGAAGCAATATATACATGCACAGAAACGAAGCAACACACAAAAAAAATAGCAGACAAACAGTAGGCGAATATATCTTGTAGAATAAGCGTGAGCGAGTGTCGGCCGATCTCGATTTGTGTACCGATCTCGAAATATGGTACTTTTTGTCGGCTGTGCTACTATTTTATTTTGCGAATGTGTTTGTGCGGTTTCTATCGTACATGCGTTTCGTAACATTTTATTGCTCTTTTAGCCGAATGACAATGGTCTCGGGATGTGTGTGTATGTGTTTGAAGCTTGTGAAAAATAAATTTTTCTTCTCATTGTTATTGGCCGTGTCGGCGTAACCGAACAGTTTATTAACATTTTACCAAATGTGTGTGTTGATGTCCAATTCGAAGGGTATGCACACAAGCGCACACAAACACATACGAACTGACGTAATGGAATAAAGGTGTTAAGAGGAAATGGCCAATTTTCTCGTTCTTCTTCTTCTTCTTCTTTGCACTATCTTTCGACCATACACTAGGATACTTATACGATTTGAACAAACAAATGGAAATCGCAATAAACGTACGAACGTCGTTTTCATGTGTTTCAAGTTGAAAGCAGCATCGCGGAACCAACGGCTTGAAATCGCATCGCACGGCGGAAGTTTCAGCCAAAGTATATAAACCAAGAGAGACAGAGAGTAACACGAACATGCTTGAATTGAAAGTAAGTGAAAAAAAAGAATAAGTGAAAGAACATTCCAACTTGGAATTTAGAAGCGAGTGCTTGGATATCCGTACCGTATATACACACTCGCACACTGTTTGTATTTGAACTACAGCGATCGTCTATCATGTCGCTGTCGAATGCGGTGTTTGATTGAAGAAGAATCACAAAATACGCTTACATTTTTTATTGATGAGAATTCTTGGTCGTTTTTGAGAAATGCTTTTACCCCGAAACGTTCGCTGGCTCGCTCACTCTCTATCTGTAGCTGTTTGTTCACATTTCACTTTCAATGCGGTAGTTTCCATTTACAAAGGAATTCCAAATGCCGAGCATCAATTCTCGATTGCTTTTATACCTGGGTGTGCGCTGTGCGCATCACAACCGCATTCCAAGCATTTGATGAAATACGAGAGACCAAAACTAATTTCTGTCTCGTTTTAATACACGCAATGCACATACGAATGATCGAAGCCAAGTGGAATTTAGTTTTTTTGCTGTTTAATTACCTCAACACAGATCCAACCCGGTGCAAAGCAAGTTGATATCACACTATTGTTCTGCGCTCGATTCATCCAAACAACGGATATCTGATTGCTAGTGCTAGACACCCAGCCGGCCGATGTTATGTAAACCTCCCTGCAAATATAACAAAAATAAAATATTAGATGAGATTCATTGTCGTTGCTGGTGCCATGCATTCGCTACCCCGATATTATATTACATAAGAGACAGTGTATTGTTGTCGTCGTGGAAAAAGTGAAATATCCTTTCGTCTTACTCCGTTCAATTTGGTAATGGATTTGATGCTTTCTTTCCTTAGTTGTTGTTCTATTCGTTTCGATCGTGTGAAGGTTTTGCGAACTGATCTGGTGAACCAAATGACATACACACACTCGACTAAATTCAAATGGAAAAACCTTCGAGTGCAGATTGTTTAGGCAGCCAAAAACTGCTGCCAAATCACGACCGAACATAAATTATACGCATGTTTTGCGACACGAGAAAACTTTGATTGGCGAGTTGTATCTCACTTATAGTCTGCGTCACACTATCGCATGATATGTCAACATACACACAAGCAAATCAGCTTGAACATATTGAACATCCGATTCGTCGTCACTCATATTGAGCACTCTCTCTATCACCCAGTACTCCCTATCTCTCCTAATAGTTGAACGACTTCTAAATGAATTGCAAACCCTCCTCCATCGAATTGAATACAACCAACATAGTTGTTCCGCATGAAAAATGATTGCACAAATTCTTTTCGTGAATATTATTGCCATTTCAAGTACATACGGTATGAGATATCGCCATTTTGGTGGCTGATAAAAACTTTTCTTCCCTCCGACACAACACAATGGAATCAAACGATCTTTTATGCTGATGACGACAATAGACACAACTCATATATATGATGGAAACGCATGGAATTCCGACAGTCAAAACGAAAACTGTTCATGGAAATACGAGTCTGAAAGTAGAAACATGAACAAAACATGAAGAAATCGATGTATTTATTTGTCTTGTCAGTTTTTGTCGATTCAATGCTTTTCGCTAGTTTTGTTCGTTCGTATTAATAAATACGACCGAGCGAGTGGCAAATAATTTATGATGCTCTTGATATGATTGTATGTTTGAATGTAGGCAGTTGACTTTGGTGGTTTTTGTAAGCAAGCAAAATGTCGACGTTCCCTTGGAGCTCACAAAGCGTAAGGACACAAATGTATCGACTTGTCCTTTCCTAACGAGGCAAATTGCCAACTTTTAAAGGAAAAAAAGAGCTTTTCAATTTTTCACCCTTCGAGCGAAGCCAATTCGTTGTGACGGTTCAAATGTCGATATGTGATTTTGATAAGAACAAAGTATTTCCTGTTCGTTTTTCCACAAAGTCGTTTTTGTCAAAGGAACTCGTTACATTTGAATGACGCAAATATCGCAACATTTTTATTATTCAAGATTTATAGTTCGACGATCGATATTATAATATCGATAATAATTATTTAATGTGACTTTAAATTTTATTGTCAACATTTTCGTGCTAAAAACTTACACGACCAATAGCCATGAATGCATTTTTCAAAATTAGGTCATTGTCATTGTTTTGATTTTTATTCCAATGTTGCTGACATATCTTCTCCATATTATGAAATGTGACGAAGTAATGTAACTTGGTTTGGAACTTGAATGTACTTGGTTTGGTAAAATCAAAGAAATCATCGAAAAATGTGTATACATTGTAATATTTGGTGAGTGCCACTAAAAAAATATCAACACTCATCTAGTGAGTGAGACGCATGGTCACTCATTTAGTGAGTGTGACGCACGCAGATGATAGGAAGCAAAGCGAAAGAGAAGCGCGAACGAACTTCATAGCGTGCGTACACTTCTTCGTTGGAATACGAACACAAACACAATGGAACATTTTGTTTGTATTCGTAGTCTAACGACGAAGTGAATACGCGCTATGTCGTTCGTTCGCGCTTCTCTTTCGCTTTGTTTTGTATGATCTGCGTGCGTCACACTCACTAAATGAGTGACCATGCGTCTCACTCACTAGATGAGTGTTGAAATTTTTTTAGTGGCACTCACCGAATATTACAATGTATGCAAATGTGTACACTGTACACTGTACACTTTTATTAAGTTAAACAACTGAAAAAAATTATTGCAGTATCGACACATATCTTGCAATTAACCACTTTGATTCATTTTTTCATCAAACAAAATCACGAATAAAATAACAAAAGAGAATATTTTTACTCTTTTTTTCACCGTTCTGTGTTTTGTTCACATTTTTATGGCACTCTTTTATATTGGATGCGATCAAAGTCAAGTTGAATAATTACTGCACTTCCAATTCGAATAGTTTATTTGACTAAGTTGGTTATTCTCAACAGCGTTATTTCACAAAAATGAGTTAAAACTAACATTTTAACGTGCAAACAGAACCAAAGGTCTTACATGCGTTGTGCACTGTACACACTGCACAATGTCTCTATGCAGCGCGCAAATTGTTTACTTTGTTTCCGTACATGTAGATTTGCATAGAGAATCAACAATAGCTGATGACCAAGATGAAACCAATCTTTCACTAATGTGCGATTGAGTGTGATTTTAATGATCGTGCTCGTGAAAAATTCACACGATTTGATATAAGAGATATTAAAAATGCATTTTATAGTGGAATCATGCACTCCATTCGCTTACATTTTTGTATGCAAATTTCTAATAATTATTGCTAATGGAACATAGAATTCATTTTTTCCATTCTTTAAACGTTATAACTGTCATTTTTCCTTCAACTGCGTGTTCCGTTTTGATATACGTGGTTCATCGTTTGTATTTTTGGGCCATCAATTGCACATTTAAAATAATATATTCATTAAAAATCGATCTCCATCGCAACATTGTTGCATGTCTTCTGCATGCAATCACAATTATCGCTGTTTTACAACTAGTTAAAATTGTTTATCCTGGCATAAGACTCATTTTGGGGCTGGTGCCGCAGAATAAATACATTATCATGCCTTTACCATAGTAGTGGTGATGACTTGACATGTATTGCATTTTATTGTAATATCGTTACTTCTCTATTGAACAGGTAGATGGTGAAAAATTCGTGGAACTGCTTGAAGTAAACACATTCAATAAACATCGGGTTCAGTCGGCTTTAAACTGCGCAGACAAGCGGTTCATTATTCATTTTATAGGCAAATATTGGCGTAATTTTTTATATTTTCAATTTCGTTCAAACACAAACAAAAAAAGAATTTTTCGTTAAATGGCGACTTGTGGCATTGGTTTATTGTCACCGTTGTGTAACGTGTTGTTTACGTTGATACCAACAATTCTAAATACACTGACTGGTGTGTGGCCAGACGATTACGGAAATATTGCTGTCGAACGCGGTTCGGATGTGTATGACTTCATTATTGTCGGAGCGGGAACATCTGGATCGATAGTAGCTAGTCGTTTGAGTGAGGTGCCAAATTGGAAAATTCTTCTCATTGAAGCGGGTGGTGATCCACCGATACAATCACTTGTGAGGCATAGAATCAATTGAATTGTTTGCTTGAAAAATGTTTGAAATTATCCTCAAACAGTGACTAAAATATATATTCAATCGTAAAATCCACAGATTCCTGGATTGTTATTCAGTATGGCAAAAACTCCAGTGGACTGGCAATTCTACGCGAAATCAACATCAGCTTGTAAATTAGCACCTGGAGGCACTTGCTATCTACCTCGAGGAAAAATGTTAGGTGGTTCGTCATCAATTAATTACATGTTTTTTGTCCGTGGCATTGAAGACGACTACAATGAATGGGCCAATCTTGGTAGCTCTGGCTGGGATTACGAAAGTGTTTTACCGTACTTTAGAAAATTCGAAGGAAATCAAAATAAAAATTTTGTTGCATACGCCAATGGAAGATATCATAGTGCAACTGGACCATTGAAAATAAGTTCCACTCCCATAGCTTCGATTGATGGAGCAATCGCTGGCTTACTTCGAGAGGCTGGTGTTCAATTCATTCCCGATTTAAATGCCGATTACAAGCTTGGCCATACATTCATTCAACTATTTACATCAAATGGTCTACGCAGTAGCTCAGCAAGTGGATATCTCAGTCCAGTATGGACTCGATCGAATTTGCACGTAATAAAGCAGGCGTATGTCACGAAGGTTTTATTGAATGATAAAAATGAAGCGTATGGAGTGGAATTTCTATACAAAGGACAATACAAAATGAAAGCGTATTCGAAAAAAGAAGTGATTGTTTCAGCGGGAGCAATTCAAAGCCCTACACTGTTGATGCGTTCGGGAATCGGACCAAAGCAGCATTTGGAGAAGCAAAAAATTGCTTGCAAAGCAGATTTACATGTTGGTGAAAATTATATCGATCATGTGTACGTTCCAATGCCTTTTATGCTCAATATTAATCAATCACCGTTGCCGTGGACATATACAATCAACAGTGTGCTTCAATATGTTCTAAGCAGAACTGGACCACTCGCTTCACCGACATTTATATCATCACATATTAATACGATCAATGGAACTGGAGCGCCTGACATTCAATTGAGTTACGGGAATTTTGCACGTGGCACTCCACGGATGATTATCACTGGCTTCCTTCGATACAGTAACTTTGAGCAATTCAATGACTTTCTTATCAATATTAATAGCCAATATGATAATTCATTGGCTTTGATTACATTGCTCAAGCCAAAGTCACGCGGTTTTATACGATTGAACGAATGTGAAAAGTGCCCAGAAGCAACTATCAATTCCAACTACTTAACTGATCCCAGAGATAGAGCAACAATGATGCGAGCAATAAAATACGTACTATCAACATACACTTCGGAACCATTTAAGAAGAGAGGCGCGTCACTTATTCGAATACCAATTCCAGAATGTGATGAACTTGAGTATCTGTCGGATCCTTATTGGGAATGTTATATGACATACTTAAGCATCGCCGGCTCACATCAAGTGGGTACTAGTAAAATGGGAACTGATCTAAAAGCTGTCGTTGATCCACGGTTAAGAGTCTATAAAACCAAAAGACTGAGGCAAATTGATGCTGGAGTGTAAGTAAATATGAAGAGATATCCATGTTGGAATTTGTCCACGATTCAATTTGAATCATTTTAAATCCGAATTTAATTTTCATTCAGAATACCCGTTCCAATTAGTGGAAACACCAATTCCGCTGTGTCAATGGTAGGCGAAAGGGGAGCTGATATCATCAAAGAGGATTACTTGAACTAATCATTCCTTTATCAAAATATATTATGTTCGGTTGATACTGTGCAGAATTTTTTTTATATTTTTGTTTGGTTTAACGTTTCAAGATTTTTTCAACGATTTATTTTTAATGCTTTCCCTCGATTTTGAATTATACTTTTTTTTTAATTCAAACTTTCCTCTTATCTAATTCTTCTGTACAAATCACGATAAATGAAGTCAAATCCAGCGACTGAATTCCAGTCATATGAATCATTTAATTCCATCAGAAGCTTTTCATTGCCAACCCGGCTATCAATATTTCACTTTTTCACGATTTCTTTTCCTTCTTTTCGCAATCGAAATATTTGAACCAAAAAAAAATGCTATTCCAATCAAAGAATTTTAACAGAGAGAAAAACGAATCTCAAATTCAACTTACTGTCCGTCGAGCGTGATTGGAGGTGTAACTGGATATTGTTGTATCGCGCTGGTATTGGTTACATTGACGATCATTAGTTTAACGTCTGGATTTTTGGAACCAGGCGTTGGATATCGCACCGTTCGCGTCTCTGGAAACGATGTACTACCAAAACTGTGCACAGCCATAACAGCGCCGGAATCAAACCAAGGATAAACCATTGTCCCGACTTGAGTGTCATTAAACGACACATACATAAGATGTGATCCATCGTCTGAGCTCCAAATTGCTTCAGGTGTTGTGAAAATTTCCTCTGTACATCGCATTTGGGTTGTTGTTGTTGTCGAACGGCAACGAAGAGAAACGGCAAAGAGAACGACGACGACGACGATGATGACGATGACAAATGCAGCGAATCGTGCGCACGTAACAAATGAAAATAAAAAGCAATCGAGATAAAGTAAATGTTATTCTTTGTTGTTGCTATTACAAAAGTATATATCTAAAATATATATCCGAGACAATATGAGAACAATACCGGCTGCTGACTAAATAGCACAATTTGCTATGCTTTAAATTTTTTTCTTCTGTTCTTCGCTTTGCTTCTCTTTTTTATTTCGTTTTGTGGCGGCATAATGCAATAGCCGCTCGCGTGATACGCTAAGCGCAAGCGCAATACGTATGTGCGCTAATTTAAATAAAGTCAGTCTTAAGTCTACAGTCTAACCTAACAGTGGTCTTGTTAATTGTTCACACCCATACAGCAGGCCATCTGAAGTCTCTGACTTCGGATGGCCCACCAATCATCAATAAGCCTCTTCAGATAATATAATATGGCGAGTTTTGGTACAAGAGCCATTAAATAACATCAATTTTAAATACGAAAATGATAAAATCAAGTATTAATAAAATCAAGCGCATTTGTGATCTGTGATTCATCGACGAGAAATCATTCAGTTAACATCGAATATTGGACAATTGTCAAACATAGAAAAGGCATAGAGGTTCTCAAAGATAGTGAAAATCTGCACAATTAGAGCGAAATCGTGATGCTTAAAGAAAAATCAATAAATTATATGTGTAATAAGCCACAAATTTTACGCGCAGAAATAAAAACACGAACAAAAAAAAAAGAGCAGAAAAAAAAAATGAAATTAAAACGAATGAAACCTACAGTTATTTTGCTTGCATGGACAAAATATACAAAAGTGAAGCGAAGGTGACATTGTAAAATCGCGTTATAAGGTGCTTTATAAAATAGCATTAAACGAAACGATTACATTTCATTTAAAATCGAATGCAGCTACGTTTCAAAATTCCAACAACAGTTATATATAATTCACTATAACTGCGAAAATCCGCACAAAGAAGAGCATGCAAATGAAAAAAAAAACGATAAAGCGGTACAAAAGACAATAAAATACATTAACTGTAGTGGTGACGTATGTTCTATGGACACTGTATACCTGCGACTGCGTTAACAAACGCGAATAGATATGTGCAACATAATTAAAGTATAGTGGGGTGAAGTTCAAAGAAAAAATATAATCATTTCTTTTTGATTTCTTTTGATTTCTTTTAAATTTCTCAATTTGAATGAATAATTTTGAATATTTAAACATTTTATTGTGGATTTTCTCTGAATAATTATTTTTTTTTTAACGTACGAAATCAATACACAAATTTTTACAAATATATTTATATCAAAACATAATAGGGTAAAATAATAATTATGGGCAAAACAAGCGTGAGAATCACTTTAGATGAGCCATTCTGTAGAAAGGAACCAAGACTGGTCATAAGAAATAACAGTGTCTTGGTGAAAATTGGGTTACAAACAATTTTCGATTTTGAATTTTTTGGAAAATGAAAATAAGTTTTGTATCGAGGCATTTTGTACAAAGCTCCAATATTGCTCAGAGATACACGGGATATACAAACATCAAATTGCAATAAATTCAATCATTTTTTCGTATTACACTGTTGAGGAATTTTGTGAGATAACGCAAAATAATCTTGATGGAATGGTAATCAACATTAGGAAAAGTGTAGTAATTATTCAAAAGAGAGACAAAATAAAAAAAAAAACTCGAAATCCTGAGAAATCATGAGCATTGGAACCATTCGAACGCAAGCCAAATTTACATTAAAATAAAGAACAATTATTTGTGGCCGGGTATGAAAAAACACATAACAAAAATGGTTAAATCATGCGAAATATGTAATTTAACAAACAAAACGGAAAATCAATTCAAATTATAGGGAAAATCTATTCGACTAAATCAATATTCTCGACTTATTCGAATTTTGGAACTGAGAAAATACTCTTCCATTTCAACTAGTGGAGGAGATGGGTACCAATTACTGGTACTGATGATGAGGGGATTTCACGCAAATTTTGATTTTTTTCGGATTTTCTTTCATTTTTATCATTTTCTACCATTTTTTTTGAATTTTAAACTTATTGTTGAGGGGTACGTATTCTTTTGTACATGATGACCAAATTCATGGTTTCAATAAAAGCGGTTCGGTAAAGCATCATCCCATGGAAATTTTCAATATTCTTAAATAATTAATATCTTCTTAGTTGTCCTTGTCTTTTACCACAGTGACTTCAACACTGCGGGTGAACATAACCACGTGTTTCGTTAACACGTGATAGAATATTTTTATTGCTATGTCTTGTGCTAATGTTGATTGTTTGCAGAAATGTCGCTACCAAGATAAAAATATTGATTTGATAAAAACAAATTGCGACCAAATTATCTTTCCTTTCGTTTTCCTTTTCTTTCAATTCCAAGTAAATATTCTGCATTTCAACTGTATTAAAAATATTAAAAATAAATTTGATTAATGATTTTGACTTCATGACCACGTCGATATCAAGAGAATTGAAACTAAAATCTCCACTAAAAATTTATTTTGCCTACTCGCTTTGTTTTATGATGCTTTTTAATTCCTTCTTATATAATTCTTTGTTTTCAACTTCACAGATATGCTATTCATATTGTTTGAAAAAAAAAAACCATATTCAGAACTGCAATTGTACTTCTATGGGGTAATCTGGCCCAACACTTCAACTAATTTCTGAAACACTATTGGTCTTAAATTGTTTACAATACCAAATGGTTTAATTTTGATGCTCTATTACTCAACACTACGGAAATCGTAATCCAACACTCGGCTTAATTCGATAAAATCGCGTTGTGACCAATCGAAAATTCATTATTGCTTTCTAAAAAAAAAAAAAAAAAAAAATTTCATAATTCTATATTATACTACGATATAACGGAATAATACTCCTTGGGGGGACACAAACCCTGACATAATTGGACGCTAATATCACGTTTGTATTCAATTAATTGAAATCCAGAATGAAAATCTACAATAACGGGTTGGAATCAATTTCCACATCATCATCTGTCAAAATTTTGCAGTCAAACTTTTTATCAACCCTGACATTTTATTGTCTTGTCGTATCTCATTGCGATACAGCGACCTCCACATTGTCCTTCCTTCATTTTACAAATCAAAAAGTTTTTATTTATTCATTTGAAAAAAAAAGAAGAGGCAACATTTAAGTAATTCCGTTGACTTCTAAAATAAATACTAAATTTCAATTGTGAATTATAATACAGTGCTCAACATATTTCGATGAAATTTTGACACGAGGCGAACACTAATAATATTTTCGCTACTTTTATTCCGCTGTATTTATTTAGCTATGTTCATTTAACAAAAAAAAAAATGAATTATTTGGACTTAACCAATGATACTCTTGTGTCCAACATTTTCCAATGATTAATCTGTGACAATACAAAATATTTTCGTTAATTACATTCTAAGTCTTAATTTTTTTTCATCGATATTTAAATAACCGAGACTATGGAATACCTATGGTACATGAAGTTTAAATTAAATTGGTTGTATTAAAGTGGATGTATTTGCTTAACATGCATCATCCGAACCAATGTTTAGAAAGAAAAAAAAAACAACAAATAATTCAACATCATAATCTTATTGTGAAATCCATGTTATTTTTACAAAAAAAATCCACACAAAGCGCAACAAACTACTAACTCGGTACAAAAGAAAATCTTCAACAATGGCGCACGATTCACAATAACGGAACGTTTTCTAGACCAGTGAAATTCTTATCGCATATGATCCCTTAGCAACCTGAATTCTGCCTTTTCTGTATTATGAGTCAGAACAGCTTGTTTACCCCTTGGCGCGCCGCTCATATATTATTTTATTGTTGAAGTAAATAAGAACATATTATTTATGAATGAGCCATTTTTCTTTAAAGACAGTGGATTGTCTTTTGGGGTGATGTCACCAGTACGGATATTATTATATCACCGAATGTGTACATCTTCTACACTGACGAGTGTAGACACTTTTATATTTTTTTGGATCAGCGACAATAATTAACAGTTCGTATCAATTAGCCACGACGAATCACACATGACAAATAACAAATAACGAATTACACATGACAAATGACAATGACAGGTGGCAAATGATACTTTGAACTAGAACTGAAAAAAAAAAATCGAGAAAACACTAACAAATGACAATTATCGTGAGGAAGTGCACGTCCTCATGACAATGATCAACATCTCGACTACACGGATATAGATATATCTAAGAATTATGGGAAACACTGGGTCAAAATATCGAAGAAAACGTAACAAACTAAATACAGTGGCGATAACCAATAAATTTTTGCGTAAAGTTTTATTAAGATCAAAAATACGCCATTGACACACTTCTTGTGTCGAGAATCACACTATCTTATGTAGAATTACTTTTCAAATAACATTTATGTCATATTATTATAATCATAACTGGAAAGCATTTCTAAACATGCTCCTTTTCATTTAAAAAACAAAGCATTTCTTGACATGCGATTACATTAAATATATATTCAAAATTTTCGGGGTTTTGAACCGTCCTTAAAGACATTCAATTATAAGCATTATATTTTATTAGTACTTCTACTTTTATCTTTTAAAACATTAACATTTCTAAACATGCCAATTTTAACTATAGACTAATTATTAATTGATAGTTAGTACCAACCATGGTCCTATATCATCGATTAACCATAGTTGACTACGGGGTAACCAGCCAATTAAATAAATACGATAAACTATTCTGTGGTCAACATTTATACGAATTAAATCTAAAATCATTATAAATTCATTAATTCGCAATGGAATTCTCTTTATTGACCATTCGTTAATGCAAAAAATTACAAAAAACTGAGAAGATCACAAAATTGTGGAGAAAGAACATCGCAAAGATTACAAATTATTTGGAAAAAATAAAAAATGTTAAAATCTTGATGTAATGTAGTAAACAGAGATCGTAAATATTGTAACAATTGATAGGAATAATAATTTGACATCTTATCAATACGAGCAAGGGAAACCGTAATTTCTATATTCTTTTTAATGACTTTTCTCTTTTTTTATATACTAAGAAAATAGGAGAATCAAGGAGAATAGTCCTCATATCCAAATAGAAACTAACAAACTTTAGCTAATTCAAGAAAATAATACTAAATTTTTACCACAGTGAATATAATACCGGGAAAATACAATACAGTATAAATACAAACAATAGAGAAACAAATATTGTAAACATATAAAAATTATTACGAAATTTCTTGTTATAATTAAACATGAAAAGTAACTGATCATTACTTTAAATTTTAATGACAAATTTCAACACAATCATGTAAAACCAGATCATGTATCGAACATCTCTATGGATCTTGATAAATCTTATGTAAAGTACTTTAACTTTACTTCTTCAGTAAAACATATATTGTGGTGGAAAATGGTATCCTACCAAATAAAAAAAAAAAAGTATTATACATTTGACAAACATTTTTTTTTCTCTTAAAATTGAAATAATGATAATAACAAAAGAGAAAATACTTCATCCGCATATATGAAAAGAAAATTCATAAACTACATTTTCAAAAAAAAAAAAATAAAAAAAAAAATAAAATAAAAATTCAAAATGAAAATCAATAGAAAAAGAGATTTGAAATAGAAATCATTCAGAATGAAAATTACTAAGAAAAAACATTTCAATGTAACATGATCAGACGAAATTGTAAAATCCCTATTAGATGAAATCAAAATTGTAATTTTTTTAATAAAAAAGGGGCGAATGGCCGAACAGCGAACACTAACACTAAGAATCAATAAAACACAAAAATCACAATCCCGATTCCATCTCCAAAAAAGGGAGGTGTGGCGGCATAATGCAATAGCCGCTCGCGTGATACGCTAAGCGCAAGCGCAATACGTATGTGCGCTAATTTAAATAAAGTCAGTCTTAAGTCTACAGTCTAACCTAACAGTGGTCTTGTTAATTGTTCACACCCATACAGCAGGCCATCTGAAGTCTCTGACTTCGGATGGCCCACCAATCATCAATAAGCCTCTTCAGATAATATAATAGTTTTGGTGTGTGCAAACACGTGTTTCGCGTAATCCGTCTGTTTGCTGACTAAACCGTTCAAATGGAGAATACCGAGAGAACGGAGAGTTCAAGATAATAAAAGAAAATATGTCGTAAAAACACTTGGTAAGCGAATGTTTGGCTTGGTGTCCATGGTGTACTCTACTTGAAAACGTATCGTTCTTATACAATGTCACAAATACATGGCAAATAATGGACAAGTTGACAGGAGAAAGACGACGGCAACGAGCATACTGGAAAAATCGCAATAAAGTCGCACATCGTTCAAACCAACCAACCGTCGAAAATAAATAACGAGTCAGTGGAAAAACGCTGACAACACTTTATGGATTGGAAATATTTAATCAGTTTAATAAGGTATACACAGGGCACGGAAAAGGGGTTTATGGTGAGAGCAAACGAGCGCAACCTAATTAGAAAAAATAAACACTGCTGATGATCGTGAAAATTGGTCGAATGTAATCACCCGAACCAAAAACGGATGGCATTTAAGCGGATATAGTGATTGCAAATAAAACAAAAATTACTTAATCTCCCGAATACATAAATACGCGCGCACACACACACGTGTCCACTGTCCAAACTGAAATGTGATTGGGTCAATTACAAATGAAGTCAGGGTTTTTTCTCTCTCCCTTCACTCGAAATCGGATCATGTTAAATGCAGCAATTGAAGTATGACAATTTAATTACGATTCGAAAATGCAAAATCAGCCGATGCGATTGATTGGCGCTATTCCAACTGACTTGCTGTTGAATAGACCGACATAATCAAATTAAAATTAACTCCTTTCAATTCGACCGGAACCGCATTGCAATTTGATTCGAAGCGAAAATGAAGAATGCACTTGCATATAGAGGCTATAATGGATAGCTGAAGGTAATCGTCCCACACTCTCCGCATCGAATGACCACAGAGTGGACCGAAGGGAATAATTTCAGGGATAATCCAAATTGTACTCACCTTGATACAGCCAATCAGGTACACCATTATAAATTAAATCGGGTTTGCCGGTATTCGTGATGCGAATGTCGTCTTCATCTGACGGCGACTGCTTTAAATATATGTCATTATCGACGACGATAACTAGTGACGTTGTATTTCCCAGCCACGCTGCATATTGTAATCGGGTCCGTTGTACTTTCAGCGATGCTTTTAACCGCACGGGCATATGATGGCTGAAATAAACACACACACACACAAAAGCTTATTAGAAAGAACGTGTGAAATTCCCCATTGTGCGACACACTCTAAATGGCACTTTATTCTCTTTCGCCTTGACGACGTAACGCGTCGCACTCAATTTTAAAACAACAGGCGAGAAATGAAGAGTGTGCCATGAATCGTTTTTTCTTGTCGTCTAGAGGCGAACAAGAGCTAATGCAATTTCAAATGGCACAGTCTCTGTTTCTGACTAATGCAATTTCAGTGGATGCCATGACTCGAGAGGTGATCAAAAGGTATAATAAAGTCATATGCATTAAAATGAATTCCGTGAAAATCACGGCGATAAAAAAAAGACAGCGCAAAGTAAAACGCACATTGAAAATGAATTTTTTATCTCATTTTCAATGGGTTTGCTTATTGAAAGTGCACTTGAAGTGGCAAACGCTAAAAGGAATGGCTTCTTTTTCGCGGAAAATATGTACATGCACTCAATGTGTGTTTATTTTCAAAATGGTTGAATCGTTTTATTGTCATAATAAAATTCCTTCGAGTCATTTGCCATTGATATCCATTTTTCCACGAAACGCATTTAATGCATTTTGAATGACACGATGACGCACGAGCGCTGCAGTGCAAGAAAATATCACGTGTTGCTGTAGCCCAGCAACAGCCAGCTCAAGCTGTAAAAGTTATGAACGAGATCTTCGTTCGATATGCAGATGGATGCTCCCGAAGCGAACCATAAAATTCTACTTCGACATATTGCCATTTTTTTGGCTGCGCCAAGAGACGCGCGCGCGTGTGTGCGCTCATTTTTGCTCTTTAACACTGTGCTTTCAGAACTTTTCATATTATTTATTCGAATCTTTAGCTTAAATGCACTTTATAGGCAGCAGCAACAGCAGAATGGAAAAAATGCAAGCAAACATCGTTAGACAAGTGAAGATAAATGATGACTGCATCGCCACCTGTGCATGGCTCGTAATAAATTGCATAATTGCTTTGCTTTATGCAGGATCACTGCCAGTTATTAGCCAGTTAAACATGTGTACTTACTCTTTTGTGACATCATAAACCGTATAAAATGCGGTAAACGATTTCCGGAAAACCTAAGAAATAAAATAGAAAGGGGAGCAAAAAATTGTAGAGAAAATTATGCGATAATCATGATAATGTGTCTATTCTGCAGTTTTTGCTCTCCAATTGGACTTTAAAAGTTTGAACCATAGAGAGATTTTCACAAAATTAATTATTCAGTTGATATCGATGGTACCCGTTTTTTGTCTCCTTTTCTTCTGCCTCGGTTATCATCATACCGATTCATTTATCGTTTTTTTTTGCAGAACACAAAATGCCGTCCCTAGCCAGGGAAATTCTTGAAACCAAATCATTTAAAAAGATATTATCTGCATGCTTCGAAGAGCACAACAATGGAATGCTAAACAATGGCACTGCCAAAGTAACAATTCAATTTGTTTTCGATTTCGCTTCATCGCTGTCATGTTATTGAAAGATAGGGAGAGAGAAAAAACACCATCTCAAGCACTGACTGAACGAGCGAATGGGGTGAAATGAAAGCGCTTTCTATCAAAGGATGAAGAAAGAAGGAGAGACAAGAATGCAGAAGAAGGAACAAGAGAGAAACGTATGAAGTTGGTCGTCGTTGCTATCGCAAACACAATGTCGCCCATTGATCGACCGAACTAATTTTCAAGCATTTGATTTTACAGCCGGATATATGTGTGTGTTCGAATTCAATGCACTGGAATAATAACGTTTGCTCATAAAATGGAAATTTCAATAAGAACGATGGCACACACACTCACGATATTCGATTTGATCGACGACGACTAACGAAAAAGTGACATAACAAGTGGAAATCGAAATGAAAATGATTTGATGGAATTTGCTTTGACAAATCCTTTCCGAATACACATTTTCGAAGTGAAAAACGAAAAATGCTTTCCAAACGAAATCTTGTTTGTACGAGTGAACCCATTCACCATTTCACCAATCAACCCAATACAACATCGCATCGACGGTAATAATCCGAAATTCGTTGAAAAGCATCCATTTTATACATAAAAAAGAAGATTTGAACGAAAAATCACACACAGCCAGTCGCAATGTAATTGGATGTGATTGCAGTTTGTTGCAACACCAAGCACAAGACGCCTTATGTATTTAATTTGTGACCGTGCATTTTTTTCCCTCCTCTATATCGTCCGTTCTCGCTGGCTTTCTTTTTCCGCTCTTTCTTCGAATGACATCCAAGTCTATTTTATGTTGCTTTCTTTTTCTGTGAGAAGATGACATTGCAAATATTTATGTGATGTCAAGAAAAACCAACCAAACGATTGACATACACTGAGTTGCGGTTTTTCACTTTTTTTCTCGTCTCAACTTCCGTACAAGGTTTCGATACATAACATTGACTCACTTTCCACATTTAATCTACTTAACAATATTGAAGCACAGCCATTGATTGCATGAATAGAGGAAAAAAGAACACAAGTCGAGAGAGCTTTTATGTACATTCAATCAGAATTTGAATACTGATGCCATAACGATTGGATCTAAGCAGAGAGCAAGGGTGAGAGAGAGAGAGAGAGAGAGCTCAAGGCGATTTTTATTCATCTTTAAATTGTATTGTGCGGAAATTTCCGGTTTGGAAACTTTGATTTATTCGTCGGAAAAATAAATCAAATCATAGTGTTGTGTGTATACTAGGGTAGCCCAAATGCCAAATGTTTTAAAATTTGCAGCTCCCTACCGCTGATCCGAAAATTTGGGCCGAAAAAATAAATTTAAGCCATTTTCCGACATATTTTTACTAATCAAATCCACTCCCCCGAGAGCTATGTAGTTTGTAGGGGAATAAAATCAATACATTGAAGAATATTCAAAAAATTTGGTACTATATCGCAATTATACTGGACAACAGATGATTGGATCTTACTGCTGGCGTCCAGTACTACAATTTTGGTCAATATTACAATGCTCTAAAGTGCAAGACTGAGCTGTTAGGGGTGAATATATTGCCAAAATCGACCGAAATTTCACATTTTTGCTACAAAAACGTCATAAAACCTCAAAATCACTACTTACAACACAGTTTTTGAGCCTATATCGACTCAATTTTTTCCGTACAATCCAAATATGACCATTGCCGGCCAGTCTTAACCCATTTTGGTGCCAATAATTTCGTCGGTTTACACTTTTGATAGAAATTTTGCTAAGTAGCGCTCTCACATCGGATTTTCAACAAAAACATCAATGGCCAAAACATCAAATCGACGGAAAATGATCAGAATTTTTGATTTGAACCTTCATACAGTGATTTTACACGTGTCAAAATGTAAAAATACTGAACCAACTGCGAAATTGCACCAAAAAAGATACCGGTCGATGTGAAAAAAGTTTTTCTCTTCAGCTCTTTGGCAAATTTCAATTGGTTCCTATAATTGAGTCCAAACCAAGAAAAACTGCATTTCAGTGTGCAATTTTAGGTGGGAATGATCTTGATGAAATTAGCATTTGACCGCAACCAGGCCTTGCTAGGCCACTATGAACGAAAATCCAAATACACCAATTTTTGAATATTTTTCACACGCAATCAAACAGTTCTAAATCATAATGTAAGCATATAAAAAGTAGTAATTAGCTAAGTTTGTACTAAAACTGTGCTAAAAAGGTTCTAAAAGTGTGCTAAATTGTTCTAAAATAGTTCTAAGAGTGTATTCCGTTTTAACAAATTTAGAACTATTTTGGAACAATTTAGCACACTTTTTGAACCTTTTTAGCACAGTTTTAGTACAAACTTAGCTAATTACTACTTTTTATATGCTTACATTATGATTTAGATCTGTTTGATTGCGTGTAAAAAATATTCAAAAATTGGTGTATTTGGATTTTCGTTCATAGTGGCCTAGCAAGGCCTGGTTGCGGTCAAATGCTAATTTCATCAAGATCATTCCCACCTAAAATTGTACACTGAACACTTTTTCAGAAGTAACCATATGCGTAAAACCATCAGAAATTGAAGAAATTGTGATATATTGAATTATGACGATTTTGCTCTAATCTGGAAATACATATCCCTCTAAATCACTAAAATGGTCCAATATATGAAATCTAATGATGCAGTTTTTCTTGGTTTGGACTCAATTATAGGAACCAATTGAAATTTGCCAAAGAGCTGAAGAGAAAAACTTTTTTCACATCGACCGGTATCTTTTTTGGTGCAATTTCGCAGTTGGTTCAGTATTTTTACATTTTGACACGTGTAAAATCACTGTATGAAGGTTCAAATCAAAAATTCTGATCATTTTCCGTCGATTTGATGTTTTGGCCATTGATGTTTTTGTTGAAAATCCGATGTGAGAGCGCTACTTAGCAAAATTTCTATCAAAAGTGTAAACCGACGAAATTATTGGCACCAAAATGGGTTAAGACTGGCCGGCAATGGTCATATTTGGATTGTACGGAAAAAATTGAGTCGATATAGGCTCAAAAACTGTGTTGTAAGTAGTGATTTTGAGGTTTTATGACGTTTTTGTAGCAAAAATGTGAAATTTCGGTCGATTTTGGCAATATATTCACCCCTAACAGCTCAGTCTTGCACTTTAGAGCATTGTAATATTGACCAAAATTGTAGTACTGGACGCCAGCAGTAAGATCCAATCATCTGTTGTCCAGTATAATTGCGATATAGTACCAAATTTTTTGAATATTCTTCAATGTATTGATTTTATTCCCCTACAAACTACATAGCTCTCGGGGGAGTGGATTTGATTAGTAAAAGTATGTCGGAAAATGGCTTAAATTTATTTTTTCGGCCCAAATTTTCGTATCAGCGGTAGGGAGCTGCAAATTTTAAAACATTTGGCATTTGGGCTACCCTAGTGTATACTCTATATATCATTTGAGTCCAAGTCTTGAACGAGTAATTCTTGGTGAAGTCAATTCATCACGTAGAAAATGCTTGACACAAAGATTATGACAAAATGTGACCACAATTGAGAATGACCACAGATGCAGTGAAAAAAGCAACAGAAGTTGCATTCATTTTGAATCATTTGAAAACATCATGTCGCAGCAAGTGCCACAGCTTCAGTTATTTTAATTTTTAAAACATCGTTACATTTCCGCAATAAACTCTGGTCAATTCGAATAGAATTAGTATGATGCCAAATAATGTGCAGCATTTTAAATGGAATGAATGAAACGATTAACGAGGCTTTATTATTTAATACCATTGTTTTTCCATTGAAAACGGATTTAATTTGAATATAATGGCTCCATTATTTTTGAGCACTTCTGTTTTCTATGCGATTTTCATTTTCCATTTTTTTGCTTCTCTATACAGAGGAAAAACTATAGTTTTTCTCTCCCCATTCGTCGAAAATTGCGAATCCGTACTGAAAAATGAAACTTATGCAATTTTATTGCGTTCGTGAAAGAGGATATATATATTTCTTTTCATATCGTTTCTCTTGATTTTTCATTCGCCATTGCCAAGATTTCCATGGAAATGCTGGAAAAAAATAAGCCCAAAGGTAATGTGCGATTGCAAGTCGGATTTATTTGTTTCATCAAGGCAATATGATGATGATGATGATGATGATGATGATGATGAAAGGAAAAACTGTTACCGGGAAATCCGCTTGTGGGAAAAACAAACGACATTAAATAGAAAATATTTCTCCTTAGCCTTCATTGGATGAAAATATTTATGGATTATGTGTGCACAAGCGTGCACATGCATACGCACCATCAAGTGCAGTGCAGACATACAAAGTATGGAGAAAGAGAGAACCAAGAATGCACATTTGCACGATCACGGTGTAGCGCGTACTGCTGATGTCTGCCAACAGTGTGCAAAACAACTTGAGTTATTGAGTTATACATTTGCCAAAAATTTTGCCCGCCGACGAATGAAATGCATGAATTTATTCGAATTGAAAACATTTCGGTCAAATTGTTCTGAACATTGTTTTGGAGCAAGTTTTTTTCTCTCTTCGTGTTTCTTTTTTTTGGCTCGATTGAAAGGAGATTTTGCCCATTCAAACTGGCAAATATTCGACATCGATTCGAATGGGATGGCATG